TACACGCCTGATGATGAATTAATCGAAAACGTTCGTTCGCCTACCTTGACTTTCTGAATGCTTACATGGGTATCATTGCTGAAATCTACCATAAACCCAAATCCTACAGTAACAATAACTTTAACCCTAGCTTACCATAACGCCCACCTTAACTCTAACCTTGAACGTAATCCGTAAGTCAACTCTAACCTTACATTCATGGCGTTTGGCATAAAGACGCCTGTACTGCAGGTGGTTCCTTTTCTAATGTTCTGTAAGTCATCCTTATAATTTTACTGTGCTGAATTACTGCCCTAGAGTCACTTTAATGGTTTAGTGTGAGTGAATTCTTTCCGTTACTCTCTATATATTCTGGAGAACCGAAAGGAACAAATACGGGTGAAACCTGGAGCGACAAGGCCGACAAAGAAAGGTATACAAAGACCTCCTTTGATGCTAGGCACGAAAAAATGCAACAATTTCGCTACTTCACAAATAAAAAAGGTACTTTAAGAGTCCTTGAGGAGAGGAGGGGGGAGGGGACGGATGATTGGCACGCGACAACAATTGTCAAAGTTCCGTCCTGACTCAGCAGTCTACAAACATCAGTTCAGAGGATGGAAGGTAAAAAGATCCATGGAGGTGGCACGCAAACTACTCTGTTGACATAATGAGTACAAATTGCATGTCACTTGTACTGCGTGGGAGTCGATTAGCGGGCCGGCCTTCAGGCGAATTTCAAATTATCTTGTTTTGACAGAATAATGTCAAAAAGGCTGTCAGCCGCTCGAAAACGTACCAAACAGAGTTTTAGGTTAAAGTACACTGGGGTTGCACAACAGCAGTTATACGCTTTTCAAGAGAACTCACGCTGCCGTTGATGATCTCGTTGATAGAGAGCATGGTGTAACTATCGTCTGGACAGATTTTGTGCCGCGGACGATACTTTATATCAGTTGACGAATCAAAACTGTTCCGATGATTGGTGTTTTCGGGGCTGGCATGATGATTGGGAACTGCGGAGTGCTCCTTGTGCAGACTCGGAGTGCGACTTCGTTGCCAATTACGACATACATCTGTGGCAGTTTGAGGACTATCGACTAATAAAAACAGTTATGGGTCAGCCAGTACAAGGAAACATGCGAGTCGCAGGAAGTAATTGAGAAGAAGATTCGATCGCTGGGAGAACAGTTCTATTCACCCGACGTTTCGACATCCCGTGGCGGATTATTCATCAGATACATGAGCAGAAAGCAGTGACCCGTTTCTGCTACTGCTTTCTGCTCATGTCTGGGATGAAGAATCCGCGACGGGTGTCAAAACCTCAGGCGAATAAAAATGTTGTCCCCGCGATCGAATCTTCGTCCCAAAAACAGTTATACATGGGCAAAATTCGGTTGCGGAAAGGTGTCATGAAAGAGCTGAAAAACAAGGAGCCTGCATTATTTCACTACAGAGCTCTTGGTGTGTATCGGAAATGGATCCAATGAAAAGCAAAAATTCCCGGCAAGACCTACGTCATCCAACGAACAATACACACGGAAAAAACATGGATGGATTGTAAATAAAAGCCGGTAAATGTAGTTTAAGTAGTGCACCTCATATACCTCTAGTAACAGCATCTTGTCCAACGTAAACTGTGGCTATAGGGGTTTTGGGGGTGGAGAAATAGGAAAGGCAATGAAGGAAATTTGTAGAAGTAGAAAATGGAAAAAATGAAGCTGAGTTTGTTTCCCGCGGCGGCTGGGAGCAAATTTTTGCGCATGTAAATTGAAGGTGTGCGCGGCGCTTCGCGCCGCAGACCCTACTAATTTAACTCCAGAACGGTAAGTTGAACCTCAGGTAAGTTAAAGTAGATAACCTCATAACCACCATTTCTATTTTTTCAGGAATTTCAGGAGACCTGCATTTTAATAATCGGGTTTATCCGCAATACGTTAAAAGATAATACATAAAACCCCTATAACCACCGTTTCCGTAGGACAAAATTCTGGGACTGGGGGCATATGAGGTGCAGCATTTAAACTACTGTTGCCTAGAAGCCTAACACAAGGTCTATGCAGACGCTCAAAATTCCATAATGAACAATAATAAAGGACCTCTACAGATTATTAACGCTAAAATTAACCGGAAGGCGAGCGGCATAAGCCAGCAGAAGATAGTATACCATTAAAATGTCGGTAACAGTTAAGTTGGCCGCCCGCCTTAGATATCCCTGGCCCCAGAATTCTGTCATACGCGACTGCGAGAATATAGCTTCAAGTTTTAAACCAAAAATATACTTAGAGAAAGATCTTCCAGGGGTTAGTTGAATGTCAGGTGCTAAGGAGTCTACTTTCAAGCAATCGACTTCCTAATCACGGTTATTGATGACAGGCCACCGGAATAGAGAGAAAACACCGAATATCAGTAAACAAAACGGGCAGACGAGAGTGACCATGGAAGTCGTCGGGAGATACTTCGCAAAAAATGACTTGTTATCCAGAATACACGTCAGTCATCAAGGCGTCAGTGTAACTTAAAATAGGCAAAAGTACCGAAAAAAACACAGGAAAGACAGAGACCAGGAAGGCTCAAACATACAGAAGCATCGCTTTATTAGTAGTCTGCCCGCCAATCAAGACGGCGACGCAAGAGACCTAAACTGAGGTTGCGATCATGACAAGACATCGGTGACTAGCATGATACCCGAATGCTGAGAATACCTAAAGCGAAATCTGGAGGCTGCACTGGGAAGTAACCCTTACCAGTAGTTATGAGGTCACCTTTGCGGAAATAAAAGCGAGCCTGATTAACAGCGTCTCGCTTGACTGCATTTCTCATGTTCGCCTCGACCTTTGAGATTGGGATGAGGAAGTTGAGTTTGAGGGAGAGGATTGTACGTGTGAGCAGGACAATGAAGGTTGCGAAAGCTGCATTCTCGAAGTTAGTCAGCTGCAACTCCATTGGACGAAACTCAACGCGCCAGCCAATGTCCGAGTTCGCGGGCGGTGGCTTGAACCGCATGGACTGCCAATTGGTGGACTGAATATTCTGTATGCATTTGGAAAGAAAAGTAGAATAAAAAAGCCCCTATACTGGGAGCCCAGCTGTTTTCACTTGCAAAAGAGCCTTTCTTGTCGGTTACTTACGCACTGCTAACCACTTAATCGGCTATTTCTGAATAAGCCGTTAGGAGTTCATCGGCATCCACAAGTGTCGATAACACGAGAACGTAGACTCAGCCTAACTCGTCAGCCAGCCTAAAGTAACAGCGTTTTGGTAGAGAAATGTCTGACTTTTTGAAAAAGAACGCAAGCACTTTTTTCGGCACGATGGTTATGCTAATTTAGGTCAAACTATAACAATTTTCTATCGAAGGCAAGTAGAAAATTGTGTTCGAAACGTAACCGCGATTATGAACTATTCTATGGTATCAACAACAGTTAACGAAACCTGGTTTGAGAATTATCATGTCTCCGGAAAGGACCTTGAAAACTACTCGTTTTTTGAATAACAATCTGCAAGGAAATACAAAGCTCGGCTATAAAAAGTGCAGTGACTACACTAACCCTGTAATCGCTGCTCTCTATCGAAAACAGACGCAAAGACGATTATATCCGCGCATCTGAGGGTGAGATTCGCGGTCTGATGACACACTACTGGATGTCTAGCCGTCTTAATCTGCATCCCAGAGGGCGCTGGAAACAAGGCCGTTAGCATGGGAAAAGACTAAGCTTGAACGCTGATCAGTGCCAACTGCCAAAGGGCGTTTGTAGGTATTTGACTAATCAAGTTTAATCAAATGAATTGTCATCAGCTTTAGGAGAAGTGGCGTTGATTGAGTGATGGGAGTAGGCGGGACTGAGTCTTTAGGCACCTGTTTTAAAACAGTCCCCCGCCTCCACAGTTCATTCACAGACTTTCTAGCAAATACCGGAAAGGCTATAGATGACCAGGAGGCTGGAATTATTCCACTGAAATGAGCTGTAAGTAACGTCTAAACTAGGGGGCTAAGAAGTACCTCTGCAAACAGGTGCCGCACTGCAGGAAGACAGCTACAGGTAACTACTGTTTTTCATTAGCAGTAGGCCTGAGTTTAGGATGTAAAACCAATACCTGTGTCAAGAATACTGCACCAAGGGCCGTAAACACAACTTTCAAGGAAGGGATAACGAAAATGCGTGGATCATCCGAACTCATGCAGGACGCACAGACGCCGATAGTAACGGCAAGTATCGGGGCGATCATAAAACCAGTAGGGGTTTTAACCGGGGCTTTGGTCACCGAGTCCAAGGGCAAAAGGGGTCGCTGGACATTCACCTCATGCATGCTTGGTGGTAGAAGGAAGCGCTGCATTGATTGAGGAATCAAAAAGGCCGCCGGCTGAACTGAAAATGTGTGCATCAGCATTTCCTTTTTTGTGAAAATGTCTTTAAGATTATTTTTATCAAATTCTTTACCTAAAGGCATAAAAAGAGATGGATAATCGTACGAAGCC